GGGGAGCTCTTTAATTTTTATTTAACGGCGTTTTTCTCGCGATCCGATGGAGGCGGGTTGTGTTGCTGCGGTGTGTGCAGGGAGGACCCCCAACCCCGGCACCAAAGTGGTTCCTCAGGGGGTCGTTCGTACCTTTGGGGCTGCGGCGGTGCTCCACTCCTCCCTGAGATGTTCGGGGGGGAGGAGGGGGTTGGGGGAAGGGGCAAGAAAAAAAAACCCATCGTGAAGCTTGCGTGTGTTAAAGCAGCCCCTGGTCGGTGCGGGGCTGAAAGCCCCGATCTCAGTGCTGCGGAATTGAGGGAGATGCGGTGCGGTGTCGGAGGAGGGGAACGCTCGTTGTTGGCTGATGGAAATGTTCTCCTGGGAAGAGCGGTGTGTCCTGCGGGTTGGGTTGCGGGGAGATTCGTTCTTAACGCCGTGGGAGATGCGGGAGCCGAGCCTGTGGGGAAGGTGCACTTGTTTTCCCCGTGCTGTATGGGAAAGCAGAAGGGAGATGTTACCTTCTGGCTCTGTCATTTAGCCCCGCACCGATCTCAAGGAATGGTTTGTGACAGCAAACCATCCAGGAAATGAATCTGTGCCACCTCCAAAGCAGGACGAATCCCCTGCAAACAGCTGGAAGGAAATCCTTCCCCTCTCCCAGCCGTGTCCTACCTGAATTCCCGACAGCGTCAATAGCATTACAGCATTTCATCACCAATAAACGCTGCAGACTGAGCCACTTAATTCACTCCGAAAAGGAAAAAAAGCAGAATGCTACACATTAATGGCCATCTGGTAGCATTTTCTCAATCTCTGGATGTATACATACGAAGTCGGATATATTTTGACTTCTCTGCATTAATTAAAAGCAGTGATGTTAGGAATTATTTGCATGTAATAACTGTTTACTTGTTCCTCTTTATGAAACTTGAATAGTTTACATTCTTTCATACGTTTCCTTTTTCCTGTTGGCTCCTTCTCCAAGTTGCCGTTTCTTTAAAAACTCCCCGCTTAACTGCTTGCAGGTTGATGGGCAGAAAATGTTTTTTCTTGTATGAATTAAGCTTTCATTTCTGCAATCAATTATTCCTTTCGGCTCTTTTCTTTCTGTTTTTTTGTTGTTGTTGTTGTTTCTTTTTTTTTTTTTTCTTCCCCAAATTTCCAAACTCAACCCGATCTCAGCTCTGCCTCTGGTTGCACTGGGAGCTTTCCTGCTCTGCTCTGCCGTGTTGGAAGCGAGCGGCTTCCACATCTCTCCTTCCTCCCTCTGGTTCTCATTGCACCTTGAGAAGGAGCAAAGATCAGGGCTGTTTTCTTCCCTTATTCTGATGGGTGGTTGGGCTGTGCCTCCCCTATTCCCCCCTCAAACCGAGGGGTTCTGAGGGGTATTTAATGCTCAGAATTGTTCCGGTTAGGTTTTCATCCTGGTTGCCGCTCTTACCTTCCTGTTTCATTCCTACAAGCCCGGCTTTGGCTTTGTTTATATCGATGGAAACCTGAATTTACTGCCCGGTGTTTTGTTGGAGCAGAGCTCTGTGTAAATGCGGTGTGTGTGAAAACACGCCCAGGGGGTCACAGCGAGCTCTGTGCCCTCAAATCGGCCCCGGGAGGTTCTCGATTTGCGATCTCTGAACGGTTCTGAGCGTTGTGTTCGCACCGGGGGCAGAAGCAGGAGCAGATCCGTACCCCCCCATCGCCGTCTCCATCTGTAAAACAAAAGGAGGGGACTTCGAGCATGGGGGGGGGGGAGGTTCGCTGTGCTCCAGCAGCCCGCTTTGCTGCTCGTACGGCGGTGTCCAAACGAAAGCCGGGGTTAGAGGAGGGGTGGGGGGCTGCGGTGCCCCCCGGGGAGCCCCATTGAGGGGCCGGGGTGCGGGATGGAGCTGGAAGCGGCCGTCGGGGCCGGGAGCGGTGAATGGAGGAAGAGGAGGAGGAGGAAGAGGAACGTCAGCCCGGGTTTCCCGAGAAGGAGAGAAATGAGTTCAAAACGGTGCTGAGTAATAATGGTCGTTTTCAATTCGTGGGAGGGATTTTTGAGAGCCGGTAGAGAGGCAGGAGGGTCGCGGCCGTGGTTGTGTGAGAGGACACCAAAATGCGGGGAAAAGATCACCTGGAGAAGGAGCATCAGTTTAACGACAACAACAACAACAACAAAAAAGGAATAATAAATAAATCCGAGCCGGCAGAACCAGCACGGAGCTGCAGCTCTGCTCGGGGACTCGCGACCAACGATGCCTTTCTCCACGTGAAAATACCTCCTAAAATAATGTTCCTTAGTAACTCTCACCTTTACGCTCGGGTTCCACAGCTCTGCTCCGGTCGGCTTTTTTGTGGACGCGGTTTACGCCGAACCCGGGTGCGGTGGGGCTGCGGAACGCGTCCGAAGCGAGAGGTGGGGGTGGGGGGGGGGACGGGGACACACAATTCCTTCTTGTGTAGAGAATGAACTGAAGGCGTTGCTTGGAGCTGTTCTGCGGGTTGGGATTTTTGCAGAGCCGCTTCTGCGGGGTGTTCTCAAGACGATAATAATACGAATAGATGGAGGGAGAAATTGTAATTATTTATTATTATTATCTCCTTCTAGCTGTATAAATAGCCTTTTTTTTTTTTTTTTGCTGTGGGTGCTCTCGGGTCTCCACCCTTAGTGTCAAATGATGCCTGGGATCTGAGAAACCTGAACCAGGGAAAGATGGAGTGGGGAAGGCTTTCCCTGCAGGGCTGAGGGCGATGCGTGGCTTCTTTGGGGTGAATTCTGCTCCACCTTCAGCTCTGCAGCACCCGATCCCTTTGTGATCCTGCAGTGGGTGCTCAGCTGGAGCTGCTCCCTTGCAGCCCCCATGGACCCAGAGGGCTGCAGGTGCTGTAAGGTGTGCAGGGTGGGAGCAGGGCAGGGTGGGAGGTGTATGGCTGCTGCTATTTCCCCCTCCCCCTGCCCCCCCTTCTCATTCTGCTGGGGCTGCACTCCCGAACCTGGCTTTGGAGAGCGTTTCTTCCTTGCCTCCCCCCCCATTTATTTATTTATTCCCTTCGTTATTATTTTTTAATAATGAAGGTAACCAACTTGGTGCTTCAGTAGCATCACTACAGCCCACAGTGATGATGTGTGGAATGTCTCCTGGCAGTGGGTTCCTGCTCCCTGCCTGCATGGGGATGGGGAGAGGGGCACAGGGACAGCCCTCCTGCTGGGGGTCACACAATGGGTGCTGCTCCTGGCTGGGTGAAGCTGGGCTGGGTTCAGTACCTATTTATGCTGCAGCTTGGTGTGGCTTTACCCATCACCTGTCGAGTCTACAGTGGTGCTGTGTTGTCAGATTGCTCCTAAAGAGCATCCCATAGGCACCAGGACCCAAATCTGGTCCTGGGGAAGATATGTGGGGGAGGGTTTGGGGTGTGAGGAGTGGGGGGTGTCCAATGTCCAGTGCTGTGTTTTGGGGCTGAATTCCTGTGGGAAAAGGGAATTGTCTGGGTTGGGAGGCACTGGTAGGTTGATATGGGTGGAGAGATTGATATGGGGACAAGGGGCTGTCTGGGAAGGTCAGGGCTGTTCTAAGCCAGTCCAGGCCTCTTTGTTGCAGCAGTGGAACCCTGGCAGAGCCAGCCAAGCTTTGTAGCTCAGCAATAACATCCCTGAAATGAAATGATGAATGTTGGAGTTTGGTGTATGCGAATATTTATGTCTGAGCACGCTCCAGCAGGAGCGATTTGCTTTCAAAGGAACCGAACCCATGCGAATCTCCTCTTTTCTTATTTTTCCCTTTGCTTAGGAAAAAGCTTCACCCTGACGATCACAGTGTTCACCAACCCCACCCAGGTCGCTACGTACCACCGAGCCATTAAAGTCACTGTAGATGGACCCCGGGAGCCACGACGTGAGTTCTGTGCTTTGTTTGGCATTGGGGGGGGGATTTGGGGATCCCAACAGCAGGAGGGGTTGGGTTGCCAGCAGCCTGAGCTCTCCTCATTCGGTGGGGAAGGACAGGACTTTGTTAGCAGCACGGAGGTGCTGGTGCAGCTGGGGCTGTGCAGAGTGTTGCAGGTTGGGGGTGTTGAGCTGGAGTTGCTGCTCCCCAATCCCACAGGCTGCCCCGTCCCTCCTGCCTGCCTGTGGGGTATCTGCTGCTCGCTGCCAGTTTTGCTTTCGGGTTGCACAGCCTGGCAGCAACCAGCGGTGGAGAATGAGAAAAACCAAGCAGGCAGCTCAACTGCAGAACCACCCCTCTGTGTGATTGGGGTCTTGGCAGTGGGGCTCTGAGACGGCAGCCCGGTGTGTTCCATTTCTGGGGTCGGGGTGGTTGGAGCTCCCCGTTCTCATAGGGGTTGGGAGTGAGCAGCGCTCTGTGTGCCCTCATCCTGGCCCCGCCAACCTCCTGCTCACCCAGCACCACCCCGGGGATATAAAGCACAGTTTATTCACTTTGCGTGTAAAGCTGTCGGTGCCCAAATGGAAGGGAAGCAGTTTGATCCTTCTAAACACGCTTCAGAAAACATTTTCTGTTGATGCTGTCACTGGGCCATCGGCACCCCTTGATGTCAGGCCAGGTCGAGGCTGTTCCCTCTGTAAGGGGATTTTATTTGCATTGCTGCTGCTTGATTTTTTTTTTTCAGCCCTCCTTTTTCTTTTTTCTTTTATTTTTTTTTTTTCTTTGCTCATTTTTAATTTTGGAGCCTGGGGTGTTGGAGGGTCTGTGTGAGCCTGCAGGGTTGGGATGCTTGTTTGCAAAGCTGGCACCCAGGATACGCAACGCTGCTGGGTTTGGGTCGGTTGGTTCTTAGAACCAAAGCACAGCCCTGCAGGTGGAGGGTATTGCATGTCATGGTGGGTGCTGTAGAACCCGAGGACAGGAGGTGTGGAATTGCACAACACCTCCAGCTCAGGAATAGAAACCAAGCAGGCCTCCTGACTCCTGCTCAGCCCCTTATCTGCTGCATCAGATTGCCTTTCTAATAATAATAATCATCATCACCATCACAGGGAATATATAAATAATAATACAAGGCAGGATAGTTGCTACTCTTAGCGTTTGGTTTGCTCTGATTTCACCGATACTCCGCGCTCACCAAACCCCAGCTGAATCACAGCTGCTCCTCCTCTTGCATTTCAACACACGGGCCAGCCGCCGCCGATCTTTAATTTAAAGGCTCTGATATGGAGGCACACCGGGCAGGAGCTGTGGGTTTGAGCTGTGGGCAAACTCTCCCGGCTCTGTTTGCGTTGGTGCCGTGCCTTCGTTTGGCACAATTAGCCAAAACCTGCCATGGAACAGCCTGCCCTGCCTCTCGCTTGGTTTGCCTGAGGGATGCTGTCCTGGGATGCAAGGTCAGTGCTTTGCTGCTGTGCTTTTGGCTTTTTCTGATCTGCATACCTGGAGATGTTGGCTCCTTAAGGAGGTCTGCGTGGTGTTCACGTGTCGGTTGTGCCTTTGTCTTGTGGGTTAATTGCATAGAATGACTGGGGTTGGAGTTGACTGTAGTGACCACCCAGTCCCAGCCCCCACCATGGGCTGTGTGCCCCCCATGAGCTCAGTCTGCACAGGACCCCATCCCTGTGCCCCCACAAATTGATGACCTGAGCAGTTTAGGCCTAAATTGCCTTTTTTATAGCTTTTTTGGTCTCCTTTTCAGATGATTGTAAATTTGTAGGCAGGAAAGGGAATTCACCTATGATCAGTTTGACCCATATCTGCTGAAAATTCAGTCTATGGTGGGGAGATGGGGGGGGGGGGTAGTTTTCTCCTTCATTATACTCATTGCTTTGCATTTTTGAATGAACCTGCCATTAAAACTAAAACAAAAAATCCTTTTGCTCCTCCTTTCCTCCCCATCCATCCGTGTGCGCATCCATGATGCGGATCTGCTGCCTGCGGAGTTGGTTTGGGCTGGAGATGTCAGAGGTGGTTTTCTGGTCTGGCTGCCACTGGGGGGCTCTGGCACAGCACCCTCTGCTCAGCACTGCTCACCTGGAGGAGCCCCAGGGCTTTGGCTGAGCACCAAGGCTCCCACTGCCCTCCCTGCTCAGCTTTGGGAGGTGAGAGCAGCCACCAGGGCTTGTGGTTATTTGACGTGTGTGTGTGAGTGTAGTGTAGGTACTTGATAGATGAGTGTATCTGTGTTAGATGTGCAATGTGCATATAGCTGAAAATGTGCTTTTTGCCCCTTCTTGGCAGCAGTGTCACAAATGAGAGGGACGTGGTGAGCGTTGGGTGCAGGAGCGATGTTGGGGCTGGGGAGGGGTTGGTGTGACCATGCAGAAAAGCATCGTTCATATGGAAAGAATTGGCCATTTGTCTTGGGATCCTGGGAAAGCCCTGGGCATCATCTTCTCAGATGCGGTGAAATTCTTCCAGCAAACGTTCTCGTGGGGTTTTTGGCCAGAACCGTGACTCCTCTCCATGCCCCACCTCTGAGCTTCCCATTCATCTTCCACCCTTGTCCCATCGCTTCATCTCAGCCCTTGAGCAACTCTTTTCACTAAAGCTGTGCCCAGAAAACATCTGAGGAGTTGGAGATCAAGTTGAGTTGGGTGAGAAATGACGGCAAACCGGGCTGCAGCTGGAGCTCAAGGCAGGGCTGGGGGGCACCAGGCTGGGCACTGGGACCCACAGCTTTGAGCCCACAGAGCCCTAATGAGCTCCCAGCACTGCCTTGGCCCTGCGGCTCCTTTGCTCCATTGTTTCTATTGCACTCTGCTTTGCTGCGGGTTTGATCTGCAGAGGACATCTTTATTTTTTTGGAGTTGACACCTTAGCTCTAAACAAACGGCGTGTCAGGTGCCGAGTGTTGACATACTCTGTGCAAACAGGAAGTAATAAAATATTTGAGCTTCCTGTGGAATTTCCTCCCCCCCCCCTCCACCTTCTCTGCAGCTCTCCATTTAGCAGAAACCCAACTTTGCTGCACTGCAGTCCTTGTGCAGAGGCTCTCCCACCCACAGGAGGCAGAACGTGGAGAAAGGAATAGCTGGGAGCTATGCAGGGCTGTTTAGTCTATTCCTGGATGAATGAGAGCATCTCCAGGGCCTCCCCTCACACCTCCCTCTTGGCTGCCTTCCCTTTCCCCTTCCTACAGCTCTGTCCTCCTCCTCGCTGTCACTTCTTGCCAACCTTTTCCACTTCCTCCTCTCCTCCCCTCTCCTTCTCCCATTTCCTGGAAACTCTTTGCAAGCTCCTGCTTTCTTCCTTTCAGTATCTTTTCTAATTTTTTTTTTTTTTTTTTGCTACTGTTTAGCCTTTCTTAACACCCGTTCCCCCAGCTTTATACAGCCCTGTCAGCCCTTAACCCCATGCTTTTGCTTCCTACCTCATCCTGACCACCGTGGTGAGGAGTGAGGGGAACCCAAGCAGAGTGGATCACCCACCCATAGCCCTGTTGGGCAGCATGCAGTGTCACCAGGAGCACACCCACCCTCAGGCTGTGGGTGCTGGAGAAGTGGGGATGCTCAGAGCCCTCTGCTTCCCTGCTGAATGCTGGACCACGTGGTAGAAGGTCAACAGAAGCTGGGGGATGGAGATGCGTTCTATTTATTATTATTATTTTATTTAACCCCTCCCCCAGCAAAAAGCACATAGGGATGAAGCAGGGTGCTGGGCACTGACCCGCGTGCTTTTGCTCTGCAGCTTCATGCTCTCTTCTCCTGCACTGATGGGAAGGAAAGTGAGGACGAGGAGGGCAACACATGTGGTTCCCTCACCCTACTGACCCCAATATACTGTGGGGCCATGCTGGATGTGTGCACTGACAGCTCTGAACACAAGGGATGGGCTGCAGCCTCAGCTCCAGCACCCCACACGCACACGTAGCTTCTCACCTCCCACGTTTCTGAGCCATTTCCAAGAACTCTGGGTTTTTCTTTGATGTTCTCAAGAGCCTGGCTGAGGGTTTCCCTCCCTGCCTGTCCCCTGCGTGTGCGACGTCAGGCTGAGCTGCAGCTCAGCCACGCTCTCTCAGCTGGGAAATGGAAAGCTTGTAGTCTGTAGAGGGTGGAAACCCTCCTTCCTGCCCCTTCTCTGTGCCTGTGAGCGAGGTGTTGGTGGAGGTGTTGGTGACACCTCTCCCCCCAGGAGGAGGGGTTGGGGGGTGTGAGGTTGTACTCCAGCAGCCCATGCGTTGAGGGGCTCACGGCTGCAGGCAGAGGTGGGGAAAAAGATCCCCAAAAATAGAGGAAAAGCTGAGCTGGGAATGGGGAGAATCTGCCTGAAGGGGCAGTGGGTGCCCCCAGCTCCATTTCTTCTAGCGATGGTAACAATGCACACCAAGCTGCCCCAAATACACACAGCCCACCTTGGTGCTTTTCTTATTGCTTTTGTCTCCCAAGATCTGAATTTATTTATTTATTTATTTATTTTCAAATTCTGGTGGATCTGTTCTAAGGAGTTTTGCTTTTGATTCAAAGTCAGTCCTCCAGTTTGAGGCAGGGAGGAGGAAGGTGTCTGGGGCTGTGCTGGTGAGGACAGCCATCCTGCATCTCCCCCACCCCCAACCCCACAGCTGCAAAGCAGTCAGATTTGCATCTAGAGACAGCAAAACCAGCAGCCTGCTTGACTCAGGAAAGGGAAAATTGGTGCACTGCTCTTCATCAGAATAAGCTCTCAGTGTGATGGTAACAACTTGAAGCTGCCAGGTGTCCCCTATAGGATGTGCTGCCCTAAGATGAGCCCCTATCCCCCCAGATCTGGGGCTGTGGGTGCACCCCTTGTGTTGGCTTATGCTGCATTATGCAAAGCTGACTCTTTACAGCACCCTGTCTTCATGCCTTCGTGGCTTAAATGCCATCAAAAGTACAAAACTGCATTTATTGTACAGTGGAGATGCTTGTTTCTGTGCTGACTTCTAGTTTTTTAAGTCATTGATGATTTCTGGCCAAATTTCTGAC